TTTATATATTATGTAAATGTGTTACAAACAATTAAGACCCTTTATTTTAACTGTTACTGAAAATTGTCAAAGTCAGTCAAAAATAAATATTGTGCATTTCCAATCTTGACTTTAAAAGCACACATACCACAACATCAAAGCTCATCTAGGTGGGATTATTTAAAACTTGCATGGATTAAGTTATTTAGTCATAATGAATATTATCAGATGTAAACCTCAATATACTTGTTGACATTACCAACTCCTCTTTGTGTCTCTAATTGGGACATTAAAGTGACATATGGACATATAACCTTGTGGATTCAGTGGTCTTTTTCCATTAATAGCAACTGCAAAGTTTAGCATGTCTATTTTTAAGTTAAAGCTATAGCGAGTTGTCTGAATGACACCGCGACTTTTTTTCATTTTCTGAGCTGAACCACTCTGTTCGTTTCACCTGCTTCTGAGGAGAAACTTTTCATTCAACGCGTCGTACTGAGCAGCACTTATTACTGACAGGACAAAGGCTGCAAGGATGAATACAAACTGTCTCGCCAGGTGGTAGCTAACTTGCTACCACCTCGAAAGCCCGGCCGGTGTCTGCTGCAACACTTTTGAGCATCGAAACGAGGCTTAAAAATAAAACTCAAAAAAAGCGTAAACTACTTAAAGTTGAAGCTGCGTGTCCTGTCGTGCTTACTACACAAAACAGTAAAACTTTCATTTAGTTTAGTCGACCTAAAAAGCCCAACTTTATGGAGCCGTGTAGGCAACAAGCTAATATTAGCAAGCACTCTTTGACAACACTGCAATCTGTAAGAAACGACAAGTGTCGCTAGTGACTATGTATATTCACCGTTTATAAATATTTTCGTCGATATCGACAGCTTGATGTTGTTAAGAAGAACAATCACGACTACTTGTCTAACGCCCGTGTCTTGTCACCATCAAGTGTTTACACTATCAGCTGTGGGGGCCAAAAGTTAGCCGCATAGCTAACGTTAGCAGCAAGGCACACGACAAACACTTGACTAGTAGTAGTCGCGAAAAAGCGAGATTTTCTTAGCGAGCTTACAGCATGTCACGACTTTTAACTAATCTGTGAGGCTTCAGTCGATGAGCAGTTTAAACACTAAAACTACAACTTTAAAAGGTGTCACTTCAGTGTGGTCAGAACAAAAAACAATGAAGACTTTGCTAACCTCCACTGGCAGCCATTCTCCCCCAGTCTGTCTCTCGGCAGACCGAAAAAACGTCAGTGAGTTCACACCGGAGCCCCGGAAACAAGGAGCAGCCAATCAGAAGAGGCCGTCGAATCCTACAGCCAATCATATTCCGCCTGTCTGTTAACGGGGTGGGGGAACAGTCAACGTCGTGTGGGTTCATTTTTCACTCCTGCAGCCAAAGTTGGAGCAAATTAACAATTAAAATAAAGTACTCCATAAACAAATGTGTTGTTGATAAAAGCGGTACTAAAAGTTTGAAGTAATGCTGTACATTATTGCTGGAAAATGTCTCATTTACATAACATAAATAGAGTTTTGTAAATGCAAATAATTTATTCTGTAAATAAAATGTGATTCATTGACATCAATCAAAAGCKACAGGGTTGTTAAGGTGAATAATGCTATTGTATCACTATTGTATTTTAATGATAAAAGAAACATGGAACTCATATAATGTGCATTCAAAATATACAAAACAGGACTTGTCATCCTATTGCAGAATGTAACAGCTCATGGCATGCTCTAAATTTGTAATAAAGTGGGATGCTTTTAACATATCAAGAGATTGCAGTTTGTGGCACCATTTGCATGTTGATTCATTACAGCAGCAGTAGGAGACTTTTTCCCATTCTCATGTTGCTGCAATACATTTAAGTGACAGGCCTTGCTTGAGGTCACAGAGTTTATGTTTTTAGGGTTACTACTCCCAACCCCCACCTCAAACACACACACACACACACACACACACAC